AAATCCGAGACCTCCTTCCTGAACTTCAACAAATTTGTAGATTTGAGCAACTCTTTGACCTTGCGTCTTGGCTGGATCGTTCATTATGACATCTCGGAACGGTGTTTGGCGCACCTGGCGCGAACCCTCCAGAAAATCTGGTGGATAGGACATCCAATTACAGTAATTTTCTTACTTGTTAACGTTCTGCTCCTCTAATTGGGGCGCTCCCACCTGAACCATTTATTAGGCCTCTTGGGGGGTCTTGGGTGGTACGTGCAAGTGCTGCTGTTCTTTAGTGGCGCTGCTGGCGGCTGCTTGGGCTGCCGGCCCTTCTCTTTTTACGCCTTCTGCTTGCTGGATGCTGCGCTGGCGCTTTTCGCGAAACAAGGGCGACTGCTCAACAACGACAACAACAATTCCTGCCACGAAATCTCAGCATCTAAGAAACGAAATCTCAGTCAAGAGGGCATTGAGGCTGCTGGCAGGATGTCGTGCGCGGATTGTATCGACTGCTCCCGTTACATGGCCCCTCAAAATTCGAGCCTTTCAATCTTTGGTTGTATTGTCAGCAAGATTGCCTATGGTTGGGTTGGGTTAAATCCTCAACGTTCAGTAGCGCTTTCACCACTTTAACTAAAATTGTGCATACCGGCACTGGGGCATCCCGAGACCTCCGCAATATGTTCTACGGGGCTATTGTTTGGTTGCCGACGGGTGCCGACGGTACTTCTAACGAGAAGATGGAGTCGAATGGTTCGTGCACTGAAGTCGCAACGTCCTTTGTACGTTTGGAACAGACGAACTCCCTTTTTCTCGGTTCATAGCCTTCGACTAGGTATGAAGAACTTGGGTTTCATCGAGTCTGAACCCTGGGTTTGGAAGCCCCCGACCAGATGGAGACATTTCTTCAAACAAAATGAACAATCTTTAGGTTTATCGGAAAGCAGCAATCAGCAGCTTGGGTGGCAACTCGGCAGGGCACAGACTTCAAGCCTTCTAAAAATTTTTAAAAATGAAAACGCAAAGATGCCCGGGCAGTGGCAGATTTGGGCGACATTGGGATTGAATGATCATTCCGTTCAGAATGACTTAAAGAGCTCGAGAAAGGAGTTGGAACCGAATGGTGCTTTGATGTGCTTTGTCTCCACCGCGGCACTTTACAGCGCATGTCAGAAAGCAGATTTCCAAATTCGGATTGCCCCCTCTGTCACAGTGAAGTAGGTACGATGGATATTCTTATTATTATGTGGAACTGCTCTGTATAATCCTTATGACTTTGCGATTCCCACTAACTATCTTCAAAAAAGATTTGGTTGGTATGGTTCTCGGTCGCCCTTGATCAGCAAGGTATCGAGACACATGGCTTCCACGATTGATCGCCTTTGGCAGATTCGTCACAAAAAGTGATTTGTTGGTTGCACACTGAGGATTGCCGTGCGCATGCTAGTGCACGCAGTCTAAGGAATTTCACCTATAGGTCTTTTGCAGCATGGATTGCGCAGCGGACCCTTTGCCAGCTGCTTGCGTTCTTCGGGCGGCAGCTGTGATCAACTTCGACGACAATACCTGCCATGCTCGATCTATTTGCTGGGTCCAACGTCAACCAATGACAATTTCGTGAAAAGGAACATACCGCCCCTCCCCCGACCCCATTGTAACCACACGACTCATCGATGACAATGTTATGAAACCGATGACAATGTTATGACACCGATGACAGTGCTAATGCTGCTGTGAAAACAGTGAAGCGTACGAAAGCACCAGGCGACTGGTCAATCCGTGGGCAACTATTTATATAATGTTGACCTATATGGTTATAGTAACGGGACCCGAATAAAGCTAGCCAACTTCCCGCCCGGCCTGGATCATTTCATTTCAATTTTTTGAAGCTGGTGTGAATTTTATTTTGGGTAAGCAAAAAATTCAACATTTGCAGCCCCCGTTTTTTAATCAGAGGTCAACATTGTATATGTTCCTATGTGTGTTTTACACATATAATCACATGTCTATACATGGCTGACCTCATGGAGAGGCGATGGAGAGGGATAAAAAAAATGCGATTTGTTCATATACTGCACCCTCCACCCTGGAATTCAGCATTTGCCGGCACAAATTGTTCCATCGACCAGTCACTCATCATCCGGCCATCCAGCGATCGAACATGTCCACTGCCCTGATGGAGTCGGAAGATGTGCAGGTGAAACCCCATTCGCACAGCCTTCTTTTGAGCAGTCACGGGATGTGACCATTTTGGGATGAAAAATTCCTTGTTGCTTCAGGCTGTGCCATGTGGCGCCCTGCACCACCGCCGTGTTTTAGCGGAAAAGAAGCGGCTCCAGCTCCTCTCGGGGGGACCGCCAACCCATGCATGACCAAGTGTTTAGTTTGTTTTGTTGCGCCATGAATCCCCGCTGGATTTGGCGGGGACGTACGTCAGGGCATTTGGTTTCAGAGAACCTTGTCGAGTCCCGACTTGCAACGAATTTTATGATTCATGAGAGGATTCGCTGATGTTAGGTTCCAGGTTAGTTAGCCCCCGGAGAGATGAATGTTTGCTCCAACTATGTTTCAGGTCAATGGCCATCATGAATACTTCTTGGTAGGCCCCCAATTTCAAAACACAGTGATGTCGGAGTACAAGACCCACAATGTGTGACAATGTGTGGTCACACTGGGGTCCGCAAATGGTTGAATTGGATGCATTCTCCACGGGGCTTCAAACGACCTGAGAAGACACCTGGCCAATCCATGCCAATCCTATTTCTGACTCACTAGATCTCACTAGCATAGAAGTGGAAAATCCAATGTGTTCGTATCCAGCAGATCCTCAAGCGATCTCACTACCTGTGGCCGGGTCGCACCATGGCGGGCTTCAAATACACAAAGCGTTAGCGCTTTGGGCCTTGAAAGGGGCATATTTTTTGAGGCATGAGCAGATCTGTGGCAGCCTGGAAGGCTTTTGCAATCATCAACTTGATCTAAAATCTATCCAGAAAGCCTGGGTGCCCAAGAAGCCTGGGCTTCTTTGCACTGGTGCTTATCGGTGCTTGATTTTGTTTGCCATGTCTTGATCTATAGTGCAAACCTGCCCAGGAAAAGTGGAGGGAGTCGATGAGCAACCCAATGTTTTTCAACTGGTAGGAAGATGTTTGGAAAATGAAAGGAAACCAACCGATTGTCCCGGTCGGAAGCATGATGAAGCATTTGGAGGGTCCGGGCCCTGTCTGTGGCCCAAGGATCACTTATGATTGGGTTCTTCACCTTTGGTCAATCCCTTTCAGTTTTATGTTTTTTGTTCTTCACCTCACTGTCGGAGATGTGGGCCCCATTAAAAAACGACGCGGTGGGTGAAAGAAAAGCCGCAGGTTTCCACTGCTCAACCCGCGGCGACGCAGCACTGGAGACCCCAAAACTGTCTCACCAAGGCGGAGAAGAAAAGAGCGACTTCGACCGAAGAGCTCAACTTCACTGGTGAACATATCGTCATGTTTGTCCCATTTTCCCGTGGACCCTCCCTCAATGAACGGAAGGGGTGGAGGCTCCCTATGAAAATGCCTGCCAATTCTTACTCTGATTCACCGTAGACTCTACGGTGTGCCCCTTTTTTCACGTACACACTATACAAGCCTTGTTGGGTTACTGGAGGCTTTTGTTGCAGGATGCTGCCATGTTTATTCTGCTATAGTATCAGACGAGGCAAAAACCAAAGAATGAATATGACATAATTTCAAGCAGAGGCTGCGCCTGCTCGAAAAGAATGTAATATGTGTTAGTGTATATATTATATCTCATGTCACATGACTGCAATGAAAATTTGTTGGATGCGCTGAAGGTTCTGAGCCTCGAAGTTGTGGCTGCGGGCAAAAGGAACTTGCATCATCTAGGATCGACATTCAGAAGACAATAACTTGCGTTCAGATGCTTTCAGCACATTTTGCTCGGCAAATGGAACACATGATGTTGAACGCCCAGTACCGAAGAAAGTCAGCGACAAAATCAAAACTGGGGAGGCACACGGCCCACGAGTCCACAGAAATCTACTTCAGAAAGACGTCCTTTTCTTTCTTGTTTGCTTCTCGTGATTTATCCTGCTCCAGGCAAGCAGGAGAGGCTATCCGAGCGTGACAGAGATTTTATGTGTTTCTCTGAACTGTTTTTTGTATAACTTCCCCTCTACAGACACGTTTGCTATTTTTGAATATAATTTAGGACTGGAAGGCAATGGTGCTATGGAAACTTCTGGCCCCTTACTTCTTAGGTCAGAAAAAATTGAAATAGAACCTTTGGCATCCTTCGGGCGCTTTAGATCTGTCGAAGAAGGGGGTGTCTTTGCAGCTGTGATTCTGCTCTCCCGACCGGGGTAAGTAAACCCATCAGTCATTATATACCTGGTTTGTTTTCTGGTTGGTTCAATATTAGAGAGGATGCCCATATTATAGGTGTGTATAGATATATTTTTCCATGGTACCCAACTGACCTCAATTCCCAAAAAGCACTGAATCCACCACTACCTCCCCGCCCAAGACCGCAGGCGCCGCAGGCCTCGCTTGCAAGAAAAGTATCGCGAGAGAAAATGACCCGCGATGGGGTAGGATTCCAACAGCAAGGTCTTTGCTGCTTTGGAGTGAGCTGTGACTTGGGGCTGTCCCGGGCTGTTCCCCTTTAAAAATCAGGTTGGGTCGTGTTTGTTCTTTGCTTTTGAGTGAGCCAAGGAGTTAATACGAGGGGTTGGCACTGAGTTGGCTGAGTTGGATGAGATCAGCTTCTGGAAGTCTTTTGAACACGTGAGGTCGGACAGAAGCAAAATGTAACCAGCCATCGTGCACATGCCTTGTTCCAAGGCACTGTAGGGTACCCCCAAACAGGTGCTGTTAAACTATGGACCTCTTCGTGTAACCAGCATTCTGGAGATGTGGAAGGGCTCTCCTCCATGGAGGGGTGAGGGGCCCTAGAAAGAAACATTCTAGAACCCTCATGGCAAACCTTTAGACTCCTTGGCCTGGAGCTCCTTCTCGCAGGCCTTCCTGGAATTTGCCTCTCAGCCGGCTCGAAGATCAGCGCAAAGCCTGTCCGCAGGCCCAGATCCACATTGAAAGCACGGACCGAACGCAAGCTGAAAAATGCCCAGATGAGAGAAATTCCGACTTGATTCATGAACCTCCGCAGGACTGGAGATGTAAAAACCATTCTGGCCGTGGGATTGAACATAGAATCAAGATGAATCAATGGATCCCATTGACCTTTCCACTTATAGAATATGGAATCTGGTGCCGCCCGGCCCTTGGCGTGTCGGAACGTCATGGGTCCCTATCCTCCTTCAATCTGTGCATTCTGTCCAAAGTACATATAGCATTCGGAATCTGTGCATTCGGAATCTGTGCATTTTTTTTGCTTTGAATGATTTGTACTTGTGTGTTTTCTGTCCCAAGTACGTCTCGCGCGACTTGCGGTCCCTGTCCGTCACGGCCTTTCAGAGGCAGTGAAGGTTTCTGTCCAAAGTATGAACCCCCGGGAAACTTCATACATGGAACCTCATGGAACAATGGACCAGACTGGAAGAGGATCATTTCCCCTGAAAAAACCCGGGCGTGGTATGTTTTCAGGTTCCATGGTCTCTTCCGGACTGGACATCAGCTCCAGCTCCTCATTCGCCGACCCGACTCAGACTGCCAGTCCGGACTGCCGAGTGGCACGGCCAGGGGTGGTTTTGAAGATCAATTGATCGGCAGTCCTATGGCAGTCCCAGACGGGTCGTGTCTGGGATTGTTCAGCTCAGGGGGTTCCAAGTACACTTCCTCTACCAAAGCAGGTGACCTGAAGCCGGCTGAGGTGACTACGTCCGAAGCATCACCTGTGATCATCATCATCATCATCATCATCATCATCATCATCATCATCATCATCATCATCATCATCATCATCATCATCATCATCATCATCATCA